TACGAGGAAATGTTTTCCACGGCTTTACGAGGAAATCTTTCCTCGTAAATTAGCTAGGCCTTTACGAGGAAAATAGCCTTTACGATGAACGTCTTTCGACGAAACACGTTTCCTCGCTATTTCCTAGTAAAGGGCCCTTTACTAGGAAATAACGAGGAAAACCCGTCCTAGTAAAGGACGTGTTTTCTTGTAGTGTGTGGACAACCATTATGTTAAGTTTTTTCTATGTAAACCACATGAAACTTTTGTGTAATTGTCCTTGCCGCCAGCATATTATGGGCTCTATGCAACATTTTCTAGCCTTAAATCTTTATAAGAGTTTTTTTTTCTGGGCAAAAAGTCTTTGTAAGATAACAATAAGATTTAGTGTAACAAATCTAAAAGTCCATTTTAAGTTTTATTTAACAAATAAATAACGTTTTACTTATCTATTAACAACTAAATCCGCTGTAGCACACCGGTCTAAATCAAGAATTAGCGAGCAAACCAGGGGAACAACTTTGCTCGCATCCTTGAAATCCGGGTTCGATTTCCGGCAGCGGAATTTTTCTTTTCATGGATTTATACCGTAACTATGACATAATTTTTTTAGGGTTTTCTGGAATATAGTGAATTGTGTTGGAATATGAAACGTTGTGTAAAATTTACAGACGGATTTCATTGATGCCATCATACAAGAAACTTAAGGAAGAGATCTGCTGATGCACAAGTCCAGCTCTGGCACCAATTCAAGGCAGGTGATTCCTAAGCAATCTGATGGCGGATTTGCATGTGTTGCAGAAGTCCAAATCGTTTCACCTTTAGGTTCATTAACCTTTTGTGTTTAGTTGTTTTAATTAACCCAACCTCTAGAAGATAACAAGCTCTGATTGATGTGGATGGATTTACATGTTTTTTGCACATTGGTCTAGATTGTTTGTTTTGTGTTCATTGCATGTGAACAGAGTCGCTTAAAAGTGGTCTGAAACTGATGATGTTGCAGGCAGCAACTTGGTAGGGATAAGATGTGGAACTTGATTTGTCATTTAGTTGGCGTAAATGGTTGCCAAGTCATTTGATTCCCACTTCTTTTTAAGTTTCTCAAGTCTCTCAAGATTGAGATATTTACAATTGTGTATATGTGCAGTACTGTTAGAGAGTTTGAGAAAATGTTGATGAGAATGATAAATGATAGTTTGAAATTGTTTGTATATTTCTAATTTCGTTGAACGCATGGAATGATGGAATCAAGTTCGTTGATGCTATCTCGGAACTTGAAAACATAAGTTTATATATGGTGTTGAATAGTAAGGTTGTTCTGCTCAAGTTAACGTTTTGGATGATCTTATCAGTTTAAAAGAAAAAATACATTAATATTATAGTGTTATACACGTAATACATCGTATTTAAAGTTAACGTTTGGATGTTCTTATCAGTTTAACAAATCTAAAGCTAAAAGTTAATATATTATAGTGTTTATATACAATCAGATTCTTAACTTTAGAAGTCAAATTGCTTTGGCTCAAGTGAACGTCTGAATGGTTCTTATCAGTTTAAACAAATCGAATATTAAAGTGTCGTATACACGTAATATATCACATTTAAAAATTAGATAGTGCACGATGAAATCGTCTACAAACAATGTATTTAATATACTTGGTAATGGGTCATTAGTACTAAACTAATAATTGACCCGCAACCTACCCTACCCACAGCTTCATCAAGTGACCCTTCCACCAAACAAAGTTGCAAATGTACAAAAGAAATCCAATTAATTAACCAAACAATTGTATGATTACGTCTCTTGCTGTTTAACGGTTTCATACTTGCTTCGGCTACGTCTACAAGAACAACACGACATCGTTTTAATATATTCAAATTATTCACGTTCCTAAAAAGCGAGACTCAAAGAAACAGAGAAGACTTCCTTTTCAAAACACGTGTGTCTGAAAACAGAAATAAAGAAGACCGAACCAGAAACGCCGTTTAAAGAGAATACGCGTTGAACGTTTTATGTTCACAATCGTTGTACAATACCGACCAAAGCTAAATCAGTTATTACCCATCAAATCAAGTTTTGTACTTTATCTCTCTCTCATGCGAGGCTTCACTTCAAAATTTTCAATCTTGATTTTTTAGCTTTCTGCATGATTCTTGAATCTTGAATCTGAGATGAAGAATCTTGGGTGGTCATTCGAAAGTCTTCTCCTTTTCTGTCTCTTTGTCTCCTTCTCCACTCACATAGTTCCTGTTTCATCTCTGAACTCAGAAGGGCTAACTCTACTCTCACTTCTCAAACATTTAGAGAAAGTCCCCAAAGAAGTAACTTCCACATGGAAACCAAACTCATCTCCCCAAGCCACTCCATGTAACTGGTTCGGCATCACTTGCGACGACTCCAACAACGTTGCCTCTCTCAACTTCACCAATTCTAACGTCTCAGGCAAGTTAGGTCCCGAGATTGGCGACCTCACAAGCTTAGAGATTCTGGATCTGAGTACCAACAGCTTCTCTGGAACCATACCTTCCACTTTAGGAAACTGTACTAAACTTGTTTACCTAGATTTGTCTGAAAACGAGTTCACCGGTGAGATCCCTCACACTCTCGGTAACTTAAAGAGCGTGGTGGATCTTTACCTTTACGAGAACTACCTCACTGGTGAGTTACCTGAATCCTTGTTTCGAATCCCGGTGTTGCAGACTCTTCATGTTGAGTATAACAATCTAACAGGTCCGATTCCTGAGAGTATTGGTGAAGCTAAGGAGCTTCTTGATCTGCGTTTGTTTGAGAATCAGCTCTCTGGGACCATCCCTGAGTCTATTGGGAACTGTAGTAACCTTGAGCTTCTGTATTTGCATAAGAACAAGTTGGTTGGTTCGTTGCCTGAAAGTTTCAACTTGTTGGAGAAACTCACTGACTTGTTTGTTGGTAACAACAGCTTAACCGGACCGATCCGTCTCGGTTCAGTTAACTGCAAGAACTTGCTGACTTTGGATTTGTCTTACAACAAGTTTGAAGGTGGTGTTCCTCCTGAGTTAGGGAAGTGTAGTAGCCTTGAGGTTCTGGTTATTGTGAGTGGTAACTTGTCAGGTACAATCCCTCCCTCACTAGGTATGTTGAAGAAGATTACAGTTATTAATCTCTCAGAGAATCTTCTCACTGGTAATATCCCTCCAGAGATTGGTAACTGCAGTAGCTTACTCACGTTAAAGCTCAATAACAACCAGCTTGGAGGCGAGATACCGAGTTCGTTAGGTAAGCTTAAGAAGCTAGAGAGTCTTGAGCTTTTCGAGAACCGATTCTCCGGTGAGATCCCTATAGAGGTTTGGAAGATTCAGAGTCTTGCTCAGTTGCTGGTTTATCAAAACAACCTCACAGGTGAGCTACCTCTAGAGATGACTCAGCTGAAGCATTTAAAGATTGTTACTCTCTTCAACAACAGCTTTTACGGAGAGATACCAGCGAGTCTAGGTGTTCACAGTAGCTTAGAAGAGGTTGACTTTATAAGTAACAAACTCACAGGCGAGATACCTCCGAATCTATGCCATGGGAAGAAGCTAACAGTGCTTAACTTGGGTTCTAATCAGCTACACGGTAAGATACCGACATCCATTGGTCACTGTAAGAGCATCCAGAGATTCATCCTCAGAGAGAACAACTTGTCAGGTCTTCTCCCTGAGTTTTCTCAAGATCATAGCATTTCGTTTCTTGACTTCAACACCAACAACTTCGAAGGACCGATCCCAAAAAGCTTTGGAAGCTCTAGGAACCTCTCTAGCATTAACTTGTCTAGAAACAAACTCACTGGACAGATACCTTCAGAGCTTGGGAACTTACTAGGCCTCGGTTACTTGAATCTTTCACATAATCTTCTTGAAGGCTCTCTGCCGCCTCAGCTCTCTAACTGTGTGAGACTTGAGCGTTTTGACGTTGGATTCAACAAGTTAAACGGTTCTGTTCCTTCGAGCTACCGTGCATTGAAAGGATTGGCCACGTTGGTTCTAAGTGAAAACCGGTTTACAGGAGGTATCCCTTTGTTCTTGCCTGAGCTTGTGAAGCTCGCAGATCTTCAGATGGCTAGAAATGCCTTTGGTGGTGAGATTCCTTCGTCTATTGGGTCGTTACATCAACTGATCTATGGTTTGGACTTGAGTGGAAACGGATTAACAGGTGAGCTTCCAGACAAGTTGAAGGATCTTCTCAAACTAACAAGACTAAACGTGTCCAACAATAAGTTAACAGGCTCTTTGTCAGTTCTTGGAAACCTTACTTCATTGCTACACGCTGATGTCTCTAACAACCAGTTCATCGGTGCAATACCTGAAAAGTTAAAGGATCAGTTGAGCTCTGATCCGTCGTCGTTTTCAGGAAACCCTAACCTCTGCATTCCACGTTCCTTCTCTATTAACAACAATAGCGAGTTAAGTTACTGCATTGATCTATCTAGACGCGGCAAAAGTGGTCTCAGTACTTGGAAGATTGTGCTTATATCAGTCTTGTCCTCTTTATTCGTCCTGGTTTTGGTTCTTGCTCTTGTTTTCATCTGCTCACGCCGTCGTAGTCCAAAAGAAAGACCAATAAAAGATGCTTATGTCTTCACCGAGGAAGGTCCATCTTTGCTTCTCAGCAAAGTTCTTGCAGCAACTGACAATCTAAACGAAAAGCACATCATCGGAAGAGGAGCTCACGGCATTGTCTACAGAGCATCTTTAGGCTCAGGAGAGGTCTACGCGGTGAAGAGACTCATCTTCGCGTCTCACATCCGAGCCAACCAGAGCATGATGAGGGAGATTGAAACAATAGGGAAAGTCAGGCACAGGAATCTGATCAAGTTAGAAGGGTTTTGGTTGAGGAAAGAAGACGGGTTGATGCTGTATAGATACATGCCTAGAGGAAGCTTATACGATGTTCTTCACGGTGTTAGCCCTAAAGAAGACGTGCTTGAGTGGTCTGCACGGTACAATATAGCCCTTGGGGTCGCTCATGGACTGGCTTATCTACATTATGACTGTCATCCTCCGATTGTTCACCGTGACATTAAGCCGGAGAACATACTCATGGACTCGGATTTGGAACCTCATATTGGTGACTTTGGTTTGGCTAGGCTTCTTGATGGCTCAACGGTCTCAACAGCTACTGTTACAGGCACCACCGGGTACATTGCACCAGGTAAATATCATCATCTCATTATACATATCTGACTTTGGTATAGTAGTGGTTTCGGTTTTTAATCTGTTAGGGCTTGGTTTCTTGTACATATATTATATGTACCTTGTTTCTCACGCATGAAGCTGCACTGTACATATTAGACTTGGTATAGTTCGGTTTATAGTTTAACTGAGTAAGTACCGATTTATAATCTATTAGGTCTTGGTTTGTTGTATGTATATTTTCTCTGTTTCTTGTTTCTCACGCATGAAACTGCACTATACATATTAGACTTGGTATTAGTTTGGTTTAACTACCTGTTTATAATTTGTTACGTCTTAATTTGTTGTATTTATATATTCAATTTTTCTTGTTTCTCACGTATGATACTGCACTATACATCTTAGACTTGGTATAGTTCGGTTAACCGAGCTAGCTACCGGTTTATAATCTGTTAGGGCTTGGTTTGTTGTAAATATCATATTCTCTGTTTCTTGTTTCTCACTTATGAAACTGTGCAGAAAACGCTTTCAAAACGGTGAGGGGAAGAGAATCAGACGTTTACAGTTATGGAGTTGTGTTGCTAGAGCTGGTTACTAGGAAGAGAGCGGTGGACAAGTCCTTTCCGGACAGTACCGATATAGTAAGCTGGGTGAGATCTTTCTTGAGCAACAAAGGCGTGGACGACATGGTGTCAACAATTGTTGATCCGGTTCTTGTGGACGAGCTTCTCGATTCGGATCTTAGGGAACAGATAGTTGAGGTGACTGAACTGGCACTGAGCTGTACAGAGAGAGATCCAGCAAGGAGACCGACGATGAGAGAGGTGGTGAAAGTGTTGTGCGATGCGCAAGGTCTTGTAAGATGCTCCTCTGGTTCTGTTCGCTAATCTATTACAGAGGAAGGGGATGTTTATATATGAATGTTTTGGTTAACTAGAAGTAATGTAACTCGTCGCCTATAATGGGCCTAATCTGGGCCCAACTATGAAGGCCCGTTATTTGAAACTTGTTTGTAAAATCGACTCGTTATACCAAATCTAAGAAAACTAATATGGAATGTTATTTATATTTCTATGTCAGCTTAGTAGTGATTGTAAAAGCTAAAGTTCATTTATTTCTTGAAAATATGTTGCTCAAAATACAGTTTCTTGGCAGTTCCTTTGTGGATTTCTTGTTTATGGGTTTTGTTGATTTTCTAAAGATAAACCAAAGAAGAGTTTGCGTATTAGAAGAAGCTTCAGACAATGTTTTTAGGAACTTTTTGGATAACAAGTACGGCTGCCTGAAAGTGCTAAACCATGTTATTAATTATGCCCAAATTGGCAATAAATGTTGCTAATTCCGACTTCTGTTTTTAGACAAAAAAAATGAATATGTTACATGAGACTCTGCTTATTACATCATCAAATCCAGATTCGATTTATACGTCCGAATTTATTAACTTTTTAAAAGTGGTTACTCTTGAAATTACTACTCAAATACCTTTGTGGAAGATTTTTTTTAAAAAAAAATTAATATATAAATATTGATTCTTGTGCTTATCTTGCATTGGTAAATAGATGGATAGGTTGACCAAAAAAAAAAGATGGATAGAGAAGTCAATAATAAATTAAAAATAAATGGCGACAGTAACAACACGAAGAAGCGAAAGGTTTGTGTGTTTCAAGGGCCTGAAGTGTTTTGGACGGTATAGATGACGCGAATAAGAATCTAACGGACTGAAATATCTGTAACACTAACGTCTTCTGCTTATTTCATCTGAGCATTTGTCTGAAAACGAAAGGCATCTTTTTCACTCTCTCTCTCTCTCTCGTCTAAACTCGTCTCAGCTCTCTCTTTCTTAATTACTCGGAGCCCATAATTTCTCATCTTCCTGAGGTTTGGTGGTTACAATCTAATGTCTTGTTTCTTCTTTGTTATAAGTTGAATCTTGATATGAATAAATGTATGTTTCAGTGAAGATAAAGTTTTCATTTTTTTGCCGAGGGTGAATGTGAAATTAGTATGTGTTTGGTGTTTGATTAAGGGTTGGTTTAGCTTCGCCCATGTTCCTTTAGATTTATGGTTTATTCCTTTACGGATCTTGATGGGTATAAAGGAAGCTTTTTTCTTCCTTATTTGTTCTAGGGCACAAAAAATTTGGTGGTGTTGTTGGATTTGTACATTTTAAGTTTTATGAAAATGCCCTTTTACGTTTTACATTCTCATATCAAAAATTTGCATTTTGGGGCTCAAAGAGAGTAGCAAAGTTTGCATTTTTTTGGGTTTTGATTCTTGGAGGAATCTTAATTGAAGCCAAACTTGCTTGTAAATGGACTATGTTGTATGAATCTATTCAGAATGAAAATGGCTGCTTTTGCATCTTCTTATAATTTTATTTCTGCTTTTAATACCTCAAAGATTATTACCCAAAAGGTCACTGCAAGGTGTTGTTCTAAAGGGCTATGCAGTAAAATGTTGTAATTTTTATCTTATTTGAAAGCTTTAGAATTGGTATGTGAGAGAAAATGCTGTAGTGTCATACTTGTCATGCTAATCTAAGATTGGTTAATGTTCTTTAACCCAAATGTTGGTCCCTTTTTTTATAGGAGTTTTAGCAATGGAAGGAGTTCCAGGGATGAACACTGTTCCAAATCCTAACCATTATGACAAGTCTATAGTGCTAGACATCAAACCACTGAGAAGTTTAAGACCTGTTTTTCCAAATGGTAGTGAAGGTCCACCCTTTGTTGGATGTCCACCTTTTGGCCCTTCTTCTTCTACTACTGGATACTCACATTTCTTCCCATTTGGAGCACAACAACCTACACAAGACACTCCAGATCTCAACCAAACTCAGGACACGCCTCCTCCATCGTTTGTTCCACCTCTTCGTTCATACAGAACACCTACTCCTGTTTCAAATGGTCCTAGTAGCTCAACCGGAGCTAAAAGAGGTCGTCCTAAGGGAAGTGTTAACGCCAAGAAGAAAGACAAGACCGTTCCCAAAGAGCCTACTTTGGATGTTCAGGTAGTGAAACGGTTCAGTGGAGTTTTTGACTGTGGGATCAGTGCGGCAGAGCGAGAAGATGGGACTGGGGACTTAGTAAGTAGCGTGCTGATGCGTTTTGATGCTGTTAGGAGGCGGCTCAGCCAAGTAGAGTACGCAAAGGCCGCCACTGCTAAAGCGGCAGGTTCTTTGATGAGCAATGGGGTGAGGACAAACATGAAGAAGAGAGTTGGAACAGTTCCTGGAATCGAAGTTGGAGATATCTTCTTTTCTCGGATAGAGATGTGTTTGGTGGGTCTTCACATGCAGACTATGGCTGGCATTGACTATATAACAAGCAAGGCTGGTTCAGATGAGGAGCCTTTAGCTACCAGCATTGTTTCGGCTGGGCGTTACGACGGTGAGGCACAGGATCCTGAGTCTTTAATCTACAGTGGACAAGGGGGGAATGCGGATAAGAACAAACAAGCATCTGATCAGAAACTTGAGAGAGGGAATCTTGCATTAGAGAGAAGCTTGAGGAAAGGCAATGGAGTGAGAGTGATAAGAGGAGAGGAGGATCCAGCTAGTAAAACAGGGAAGATTTATATTTATGATGGACTTTATTCAATCTCAGAGTCATGGGTAGAGAAAGGGAAGTCTGGTTGCAACACATTTAAGTATAAGTTGGTGAGAGTACCTGGTCAGCCACCAGCTTTTGGATACTGGAAAGCTGTTCATAAGTGGAAGGAAGGTTTAACTCCAAGAACAGGACTTATCCTTCAAGATATCACTTCAGGAGTTGAAAGCAAACCTGTCTCTCTTGTGAATGACGTTGATAACGAGAAGGGGCCTTCTTATTTTACTTATATCTCCACTCTCAAATACTCGGAAACCTTTAGAATAATCCAGAACACAGCTGGCTGTTCCTGTCGCGGCTCATGTGCACCAGGAGATCTTAACTGCTATTGCATCCGGAAGAATGGTGGTGATCTCCCTTACCTTTATGGCGTTTTTCTTGTTTCCAGGAGGCCAATGATATATGAATGTGGTCCAACGTGTCCATGTCATGCTAGTTGCAAAAACAAAGTGATTCAGACAGGACTGAAGTTCCGCATGGAAGTGTTTAAGACAGCGAATCGTGGTTGGGGTTTACGTTCTTGGGATCCCATCCGTGCTGGTTCTTTCATATGTGAATATGCTGGCGAGGTCAAAGACAAAGGCGAGCTTAGAATGGACCAAGAAGAGGATGAGTATGTTTTTGACACGTCCCGTGTTTATAGCTCATTTAAGTGGAATTATGAGCCTGCATTAGTAGATGAGGATCCTGCAGATGAAATCCCGGAGGAGTTTAATCTCCCATCACCACTCTTGATCAGTGCCAAGAATTTTGGCAATGTAGCTCGGTTCATGAATCATAGCTGCTCCCCCAACGTTTTGTGGCAGCCAGTTATTTGTGAAGGAAACGGTGAATCTGTTGTCCACATTGCTTTCTTTGCCATTCGTCACATTCCTCCAATGACTGAACTGACGTATGATTATGGAGTCGCCCTTACATCTGAGGCAAGAGATGGGAGCGTTTTACATGGAAAGAGGCATTGTAACTGTGGTTCTGTGAAATGCCGTGGTTCATTTGGATAATGTGAGTAATGCAAGTCCACCTTTGTTTGTACTTTCAGCTATAATTCTGACACAAGTCCGTCTGAAAACATTGTCTGTTGTCACAGGGCAGAAAGATCTCAAGGTGTAGCAGAAGTACAAAGAGGGAGGTTGGCTTTTGGTCTTATGTTAAAATGATTGCCGTTTTTTGGAAACTGTGTATGCATTTGCTGCGTTGCATGTTCTGTGGTAATGCACACACTTCTTATGTATTGTATTGGCACCATATCGGCTTTAGGTTCCATGCTCATAGGTTTAGTAAAATCAAACTCTATAGAGCGATTCAGTTATGTTTAAAAGCCTTTTGTAACAACTTATCCGTAGACTTCAAGAATGCGAAAAAAATTCATGTTTGTTTGTTTTTTATTATTAGTCGTCAATGGAAAGCTTTGTTTCCATGATGGGTTTTTGTTCCTTAATGAGCGAAGAACCTGATTCCATGTAAGTGAAAGAGGGATATCACTCTGAAGCATGTCAGGAGGAATCAGTTGAGGAACCTCTTCGGGATCAGGAAAGATCACATAGTTGTAGGAAAACAAAATGCAATCTCTGTATATTATTTACCAGTAAAATTTCTCCATTCTACCTTCAAGGATCAGTGGAACATTGATTCTGGAGTAATTGTTCCCTGTGGCAATGAGAGAAACTCTGTTTTCAATGTCAGCTTCTCACCAGTCTTTCCCCTCCCCACACTTACCCTTGAAGGATCATAGTACCGACAACTATCTGGTTGTTTACTTTCATTTGTGTTTCTCCTAATTAGAGAGAACTAAACTCAGTTAAGATCATCCTTGCAGAATAAATGCAATGCCTTAAAGTTATCTGAGATGGACTTTGTACCAAATCTACCAAGGAAAGCATCAGTATCACTGATTATGAGAACACTCATCTTTCCCTGCATCACAAGTCATCATCAAAGCTCATGCCAATCCTGTATCTGTATAGATAGATAGGTGTAACTAGACTGGAAATGATAAGAACAGTTTCTAAGTCTCTTACAGACACTATAACTGGTTCAGCTCCCATGGTTTTGAATATAAGTTCGGTCTGTTACGTTTTGCCTTGTCCTTAACCTCCCCTTCCCAGATACCTAGACAGCCGAGGAAACAAAAAAAACACAATGTTCAAGAGATGGTGGACAGATTTCAGTCACCGGATCTAAACAGAGAAGCAGGAGGTGCATTCATTACCTAAGATCAATGGAATTTTTATATTTAGAGAGCTAACAAGGTATTTCTTCACGATGTGGACTGCTGCAGAACACAATGTCAAGGTAAAGTGAAAGTAAGAAAGAAATATTGCATCAAAGTTCAATGAATCCAACAAAGATCGTATAAAAAGTTCCACACTTTTGAGGCTTTTCTATTGTGAACCCTATCATCCAACTTGTAGTTACCAGTTTATTCTTTTTCATTTTCACCAAGTCAGAGTTCATTTGAACTTACCAACTTTATCTTGTCAAAAGAAAATAAGAGTTAAGATATGAACAACCCTATTGGTACAGTGGCTACATTGTGGCATATATATATATATATATATATATATATATATATATATATATATATATATATATATATATATATATATATATAACAGTTACCTCGTGGCCTTCTAATAGTAGTCAAACACAATATCAGCTGCAAAGCAACATATATGTTAACTCCAGACAAAACCAACATAAAGAATCAAATGGGTTCTTTGGACTTAAAAGGCATCCTTGTTTCATGTCTGATAATAGTAGCTAATTCTGTAGTTCTTGAAGACAAAGAGTACTAGTTTGGTCCCACTTTCAATCTTCTTTTATTTGTTACTACTTGCAATTCCAATTTGTTCATCATCTCACTTGGATAAGGCTTGACACTAAACACAGCGTTACTTAGTCCTTTTTGTCTTTTCGATGGTCTCGGCGTTAGCATTTGTAGCGTTGGCCGCTGGCGCATCTTGTGGTGGTGGTGTTTTATTAACGTCATTGCTTTCGTCGCGAGTTTGGTGTGGGAACCGAAATTCACCTACTGTCAATGAATCGTAAATAAGGAAACATTGAGTAAACCCCAAGTTTCCAGAGGTCCCGACTATCTGCAGAACCGCACAACGAGAATTAAAAAAAATGATGAACTTAAAATTAAAGTATGAATGAACGAAATCGAGAGCAAGAAGGTTTTTATTCTGAATCGGTGTAAGAACTGCTACAACGAGAGTGGCCTTAGCTGCGTGAGCCGTCGGAAAAATCCCTAACTCTAGAAGTTTAAGACCGAAAACCTTAGTTGAGAAGCAGCTCGCTAACAGAAAACGGAAATATTCCTAAATGCTAAATAGGTGGTGGAAGCTCTGAAAATCGTGTCTTGCTTTTTCCCTATGCCCCTTGCTTATATACTTCTCTCCTTGGCGGTTTAATCTTTCAATTTCATCCAGATTCAAGTTTATCGGGAATCTTCCATATATCAATTAGTAGACCACTTTCCCTAGTGGTTCATACATACAAAACACATTTATATGAATGTTAACAAAACAAAACAAAAAACATTTACTTTATCTCAATTTTGTAACAGAACAAACATTTACTTTATCTCAATTTTTTGTTTTGTTTTGTTAACATTCATATAAATGGGTTTTGTATGTATGAACCACTAGGGAAAGTGGTCTACTAATTGATTCTTTTTGTATGCATTGATAAGGCTTGACACTAAACACAGCGTTACTTAGTCCTTTGAAGATGAATAAACACTAAACACATGCATTGATAGTAATAATCATATGATTTTCAGTGCTTCATTTGATTAATCTGTTATGAATATGATAGCTTAGGCAGTTCCACCTTACTCATTAAGAGGGATTGTATAAAGACAAATCATAATCATTGATGTTTTTTCCACTCCATACACATAGATGATCAACAAAACATTTTTCTCACTTTTAATTAACTATTGAACTATTTTATAACTTTTTTCTTTGGATCAACTAACTATTTTGTTCTTGTATATAGTAAATCTTGGAAACGTTGTTCCAATCCTTGAGAAAAAAATAATGAAGCCAATTATTAGAATTTAAATCACTAAATAAATTCATAGAAACTAAAAAATTCACTCAATAATCATGAGTTACTAAAGCAGAATGCAACATGAATTTGGAAGCATCATCAGATTGATGACATCCCTGGAAGGTAAACACATTCTCAGACCACTCAATGGATCCCCGAATGGTCTTGTGATCGTAAATCTTAATCAAAATCTCAGCACACCAAATCTCAGTATTACATTCCATAGCATAATTAGTCTTCCACCAAACTATAACTCCCTCATCTTGGCCAGAGTTGGTCACCGAAATAAGATAATTAGAGGATATTGCTTCAAGTCCTACAACTTTAACCCACTGAGATAAGACACCGCAGCGTAGTTCACCATTGCGAACCATTGCTCCCAACCAAAAAAATTTCTTTGTCTCTACCAAGGACGACCTGGTGGAACTGAAAACATCTGAGGCTATGAAGCAAATCGTGGAACTGTAATAACCTTCTCCATGTCGGATATACATGGTGACATCTTGTTGGTCGGTGTGATTGGGTAGATCGCGTGTTCTGACACTTGTAGGCTCCCAGGTTTGTGTATTTGGGTCGTAAACCTCTCCAAAATTTTCGGAGGTGGTAGAGTTCTCTCCAGTCACATATATCTTACCATCCATCATCACCTTAACGACTTGAAATATTATGTAAAGCGTGTGTTTATTGATTCACATGAATGTGTTTATATACAAGAGATGACATCCTTATCCTAGAATAACTAAGTATTTAGATAATTACAACATAATAATCTATCATTATCTCTATACCCTCCCTCAAGTTGGAGGTGAAAGATCATGAACCTCTAACTTGGAAAGAAGATATGAAAATGTAGTAC